ATCATCCTCTATGTTGTGGCATAAGCGATTGGGTCATATTTCTAAGGATAGAATGGAAAGATTAATAAAAGATGAGATACTTCATTCCTTAGACTTCTCCGATTTTGACACTTGTATAGATCGTATAAGAGGAAAGTTAACTAAATCTACGAGGAAGGGTTTGACTAGGAGTAATGGAATTTTGGACTTAATTCACATTGATATCAATGAACCTTTGCTTTCCACTATATGTGGGAATAAATATTTCATAACTTTCATTGATGATTTCTCACGATATGGATATGTTTACTTGATTAACGACAAATCACATGTACTTGAAAAATTCAAAGTTTTCAAACTGGAAGTAGAGAAACAATGTGAGAAAAGTATCAAAATTGTAAGATCAGACCAAGGTGGTGAGTACTATGGGAAATATGACGAGTCTGGTCAAAATATGGGTGATTTTACAAAATTTTTACAAGAATGTGGAAGAGTGCCCCAATACACCATGCCAGGGACACCTGAGCAGAATAGTGTTTCTGAAAGACATAATCGAACTTTAAAAGATATGGTTAGAAGTATGATGAGTAGAACAAATTTGCCTGAATATTTATGGGGTGAAGCCTTGAAAACAGCTATGTATATTTTGAACAGAGTTCCAAGTAAAGCTATTGCAAAGACACCTTTTGAATTATGGACAGGATGTAAGCCAAGTATGGCTCACTTTAAAGTTTGGGGATGTCCAGCTGAGGTTAGGATTTATAATCCATTTAAAAAGAAATTAGACCCTAAATCAACTCCTAGCTACTTTATTGGGTATTCGGATAGATCAAAGGGATATAAGTTTTACTGTCCAAATCGCAGCACTAGAATTGTGGAGTCCATTACTGCTAAGTTTCTGGAGAACGATTTTGGAGATAGTGGGAGTTCCACGTTGAAAGATATTCTTGTTGAACCTAATCAAGTTGTAGTTCCAGTTCCTGTCATACAGCAAAGAGTTAGTTCTCAACCAATTGAAGTTGTTAATGAAGAACTGAGGAACCAGGAGGAATCTCCAATTCCTCAAACAACGATTGAATCGGTTCCTGAGCCACAAGTTAGAAGATCACAAAGGGAAAGAAGATCTGCATTGCCCAGTGATTATGTGACATATTTATTGGAGGGCGATTTTAATATCGTGCATATTGTTGATCTTGTAGTTATAATCAAGCATTGACAAGTCCTGAGGCAGATAAATGGATAGCTGCCATGGAAGATGAAATGAATTTCATGGAAAGGAATAAAGTTTGGGATCTTGTTGAACTTCCTCCAGATGCTAAGGCTGTAGATAACAAGTGGATTTTCAAAAATAAATTAGATTCAAAAGGAAATGTTGAACGAAAGAAAGTAAGATTGGTTGCAAAATGTTTCACTCAACGAGGAGGCATTGATTATGTTGAAATCTTCTTCCCTGTTTCGTCGAAAGATTCTTTTCGAATTATCATGGCTCTTGTGGCACACTATAATTTGGAGCTTCATCAAATGAATGTTAAGACAGCATTTTTGAATGGAGATCTTTCTGAAATGGTTTATATGAAACAACCTGAAGGCTTTGTTGTAAAAGGAAAAGAAAACTTGGTGTGTAAGTTAAACAAACCCTTATATGGTCGCAAGCAAGCATCTCAACAGTGGTATTTAAAGTTTGATGAGGTTGTGACATCTCTTGGTTTTATCGAAAATACTATTGATCAATGCATTTATTTTAAAACCAGTGGGAGAAATTTTATTTTCCTTGTATTGTATGTTGATGACATTCTACTTGCTAGCAGTAACTTAGGGTTGTTTCATGAGACAAACAAAATGTTGTCTGCTAATTTTGAGATGAAAGATTTTGGAGAAGCTTCCTATGTACTTGGCATTGAAATACATCGTGATAAAAATTGTGGTTTATTGGGACTTTCTCAGAAAGCTTATATACGACGTGCTCTAGAAAGGTTTAATATGCAGAATTGTGCACCTGGTAATGTACCTATCATAAAAGGAGATAAGTTTAACAAAACTCAATGTCCAAGGAATGAGCTGGAAAGGGAGTCTATGAAGATGATCCCATATGCTAGTGTTGTGGGAAGCTTGATGTATGCTCAAGTTTGCACTAGACCGGATATAGCCTACGCAGTAAGTGTCCTTAGCAGATTTCAGTCTAATCCAGGACAAGAACATTGGAAAGCGGCTAAGAAAGTTATGAGATATTTGAAGAAAACTGAAAGTTATATGCTTATATTCCAGCGCACAAATCATCTTGAGGTGGTAGGATATTCAGATTCTGATTTTGCTGGATGTCAAGATGATTTGAAATCAACCTCAGGTTATATTTTTACATTAGCTGGTGGTGCCATTTCTTGGAAAAGTGTTAAACAGACTTTAGTGGCATCTTCTACTATGCAAGCTGAATTTGTGGCATGTTATGGGGCTACAGTCCAAGCCGTTTGGTTAAGAAATTTCATCTCTGACTTGAAAGTTGTTGATTCTATCGCAAGACCGATCACCATCTACTGTGATAACAGTATAGCAGTATTCTTTTCAAAGAATAATAAAAGTTCTGGTGGATCAAAACATATTGACATCAAATATTTGGTCGTTAGAGATAGAGTCAAAGAAGGGCAGATGAAAATAGAGCATATCAATACAGAGGCGATAGTTACAGATCCCTTGACTAAGGGACTCGCTCCAAAAGTCTTTAAGACACATGTTACTAATATGAGTATTGTGGAAACATTTGATATTTTTGGTTAGTGGGAGTTATTTATGTAAAGAACTACGTTTTGGGCTTGATTATTTACGGGGTACGTAGGCAACCCATATGTTTGGTACAGCCCCCTTCTGATAATAAAATAATTTTTCCCCTATCCATGAACTATTTTTAAGCATGCATTTGACATGTGGCTTCATTTTGATTCGAAGCATTATGAGAATCAATATGAGTTAGCACAATTTTGATCACATTTGGTGCTAAGTTCATACTACATACTACAACATTGGTTGGAGGATGGGGATCCATGTCGATGAGGATGTTGACATTTGTAGCTGTGGAATGGTCTTACATATCTTAAATTGGTGTAATGACTTCCATGTTCGGTGTTAATATTCTTGTTGGACCGGATCATGTTACGTAAGGTGTCATTATTGGAGCTATACTTTTGTGGCCACTTATGTAGTCTAACCCGGGTGTTAAAACTTTGTTATGGCAATCAAATGTTTGCCCCAAGTGGGAGAATGTTGGAATAATTAATAATTCCATATGTGGGCTTCACATTCGATTGCAAAATTTTACGGGTTAGATATATGGTTCATAATGATATTTGTGTTTGGGCCAAATTTATTAAGTGATCAATTGTGCATTTTACACCTTACGGGTTGTAATTAATTTTATGTGGTAGTTTAAACTATGTGGGCCGGAAATAAACCCTAATTAAAATTCTAGTCGTAATGGGACGGCTCAAATTATTTCCTATATATAAAGGTTAGGTCCCCTCTCCTCTTCATATGTTTTATTGGCTTGCCTCATTGATTGCTGATATTTTGTGAGGAGCAAGGAGAGGAAGATCTTGGCTACTATTACAACTATTATTCATATCAACAATGGCTTCCGTAGGTATGAATTCGTTTCTATAAATTTATTATATGGTGATTCTAAATTCTTGGCATGATTACAAATTAAAATATAACATTCGATGCACAGGATGGTTTGCAGAAACTCCTTGATCTTTTGCACATTGCCGCCTCAGTGAGATCAGGGGTGCCTTCTGGGACATTAAATAACTCAGGATCACTTCGAAATGGCTGATCTCCCGCGGAGGTATTGACTTCTTCTGAGAAGCAGATAGCTTACCATACTTGTGCTGCACTGCGACAATACTTCAGAGCACACCTACTCTTGCTTGTGGATTCAATTCGACCCATTAAAATCATCCGCAGTTCAACCAGTAATATTTCAAGTGCTCAGGCAGCCTACAAGCCACTCGACATAAGTAATGAGGCTATGGACGTGGTATTTCGTCAAATACAGAGGGATCGGAAACTTGGTCCTGCATTTGTGAGGGCTCCTTGGCCAGTTGTTGAGAAGTTTTTAAGATGTAATGGTCATGTTACCATGTTGGAGCTATGTCAGGTATGGTGTAGCATTTTAAATTGTTTACCTTTTATTTATTTATTTTTTTATGTATTTCAACCTAAAACTGTAGTAACTTTTAATTTGCTCTGCAGGCGCCACCCGTTAAACGTTATTTGCATGATTTGCTTCAATATGCACTGGGGGTATTGCGTATCGTTACTTTAATACCTAATCGCCGCCAACTTATTGTTAATGCTACGTTAAGCAATGATCGTGTCGGTATAGCTGTAATTTTGGATGCTGCAAATGGTGCAGGTTATATTGAACCTGAGGTGACATGTGCAGACTTAATTTGGGCTTATCCTTGTAATTACTTGTCACTTTCACTAATTTCACTAAATTCTTTAACATCAAAATGACACAGATTGTTGAACCAGCGCTGCATGTTTTAATAAATCTTGTTTGCCCTCCACCATCAATCAGCAATAAACCAAGTATATTCACTCAAGGACAGCAAAATTCTTCAACTCAGAGTGCAAATGGTCCAGCTGTAGATCAAAATAATACGGAGCTAGCAGTTAACGTTCCAGGCGAGAATGAACCTAGAGAGCGAAATGAAGTACCTGCGTTGATGGATCGAGGTGGTTCCTCAATAGTTTCCTCATCTTCTGTTGGTAATACTTCACAATCACCTTCTTCTGTGGTAGCTTCTGGATTAGTGGGAGATCGTAGAATATCCTTGGGTAGTGGAGCTGGTTGTGCTGGCCTTGCTGCACAGCTAGAACAAGGATATCGCCAAGCAAGTGAAGCTGTTCGTGCAGATAAAGGCATCAAGGTTCTTCTTCGTCTCCACCAACCCCGGATGGTTACATCTCCTGCTGCTTTTGACTGTCTTCGTGTGTCGGGTTCTTCTTGGTTTAGCCAGAGACGAGTCAATTGCACATATATTAACGAAGCTTCAGGTAAGTACCAAAATGGAAACAATTTATTAATTGCATGAACTATAGTACTTATTCATTCTGAATAGAGACTGTAATGAAGGCCTGTGAAAATGTTATTCATTTTGTTGGTTCAACTTTCTTTTTCAGGTAGGGAAAAAGCTATCAGAACTTATTCGAGATTTTGGCAGCCAGACCACTGGCAGTGGGCAGAACAGATGGCAGGCAGAGCTTGTGCAAGTGACTATTGAGCTAATTGGGGTAAGGTCAATTAAGTTGATGTTTGACTGTGTGATAGGGTGACTTGCTTTGAACAGCTTTGCCCTCTGTGTTATCTTATCTCAAGGAATAATGACAGTTCAAATGTGCAGTATACTCATTCATATTTGTTTGAACCATCTGTTCAAGCATAAATATTTTCCTGCTGAAATTCAACGAGTTTTAAGATTCGAATTTGATGCTAGTTCATCGTGCTTTGCAATATCCAAGATTGCAGATAGATTTTTTTGTATTCATCTCATGCTAAATAAAGGGAAGGTAAAAACAGTCTGTTGGAAGTCATAGGGAAAAATTCATAGTCTGGATTGAAATCTCAAGAGTTCGCCACCACATTTTTCTCTACCAACTATTTAGTCGTCACTTACTGACTTGATCTCAGGAGCTTTAGGTGGAGTTTGAGTTGTCTCTGCTGATACTATGATTGCGAGTCTCTCCAGCTTGCTATCAATTAAAAGTAGTTACTTTTCTCCTCTCTTAATAAGGTGAATGAGATAGCATCTGAGTTTTCCAAGAAAAATTAACTCCATACTGTGGCATATCCTTTTGTGCCATAAGATAGGTTACACTTCTTTGCTTCAGAGGTTGGAAAAGGAAATATTTGTATGTCAAGAAAACTATTATGAAGAAAGAAGAGTAAGGTACATGAATTTCAGCATGACAAAACTTTGATGAATGCAGAACAGAATTTTATAGCAATTGCACAAAAAGTGCGACTGCCTCTTCTCACATAGGTAATAAATATATACTTCCTCGTCCGATAGCTACATTTGAAATTAGGCAGTTGGAATGCGTTGCGATTATCTGAATACACTGCCACATGCTCTGATATGTATATACGTATGCAGCAGATGTGCAGGAATCTAGTTTAGTTAAGTGATATATATAGTGCTTCCTTATGCAATAGTTTGTTTTGAGGGAATCGTTGGACTGGGTTTCTAGTTGATGCGATAAGCAGATAAACTGTTTATTTGGAAATAAACGAATTTTTGTTCTACGTCTCCGCACTATATATGTGTATGATAGCATTCTCTTGTCCAATATTTATGCATCTTATGATTGTATAATTGTATTCATGTCGTAGCTTTTAAGGATTTTGTAGGTTGTGACTAATTCTGGACGTGCAAGTACTTTAGCAGCTAGTGATGCCACTGCCCCGACTTTGAGACGTATTGAAAGACCTGCTATAGCTGCAGTTACTCCTATCACATATGATTCAAGGTATTTAGTGATTGTGTGCTCGTGAGCATATTATTTGAGTTAAAGCTTAATCATTTCTTCCCTCCTCGTCTTTTTAAATGTTTGCTTACAATAATATTCTCTTTCATCTGAATTTCAGGGAACTTCTTCTTCTTATCCATGAGCACCTACACACATCAGGTTTGGCAGGAAGTGCTGCTAAACTACTGAAAGAGGCTCAGTTGACACCTTTGCCATCTTTGGCAATCCCAACATCGGGAGCAAATCAAGCTTCTGTACAGGAAACTTCATCAATACAAATTCAATGGCCATCCGGACGAGCTCCTCGTGGATTCCTGTCAGATATGCCCAAAATTTCTTCTTATGAGGATTCCAGCTTGAGATGTCCCTCAGCTGCCTCCTCAATGAAGAAGAAACCACTTGTATTTTCAGCTTTGCGAGAATTCTCAAAAACTCAGGCTACACTGGAGGAGTTGCCTGTACAATCAAACAGTAAGTTAAATACCTCATCAAGAAGATCTGCTGGACTCGGTGACACTGCTGAAACTCCGTTAGTATCTGCTGTGAAATCTGGTGGGGATGTGGATGCTCAAACCAGAACTCCAATTGTGTTGCCAATGAAACGTAAACTGACTGAGTTGAAGGAAACTGGGTTTGCATCACAAGGGAAACGACTGAACACTGGTAAGCACACTCTTAGATCTCCTGTTTTCCAACAACAAATACTGTCCATAGAAATGGTGTTCAATTAGATTCAAATGTGTTCTGCACACCAAGTTCTACACTGAAGGATCATCATGCCGATTGCTAACTAGTACATTGCCGGCTGATGCGGATGAAAACCAGTATGCCAGTGCTCAGATGGATCAATCATCTTCCTCTCATCATGAATTTCTGAAGGATCCACAGCCTTCTGGCTCAGAGCGGCTGACCTTGGATTCGAATTATGAATCAGGCTTGAATTGAGTTTGATTCTGGAGTATATTGACTGTTGAGATTTTATTGGGGGTTCTTTTTAATGTTTTCTCATGTGTCAGTTGCCTTCAATTTCTTTTGTTCTTTTCTTTCATCTTCGGCTCAAATTTGAGTACATTTTTCGAAGATTTTTAGGTTGGATCATTTTTTCTCTTCCCATTTATTAATTAGTAAAATAATAAAAAGCATTAATTGTTTACTCGATTTTTGATTGTTTACTTCTAGATGGTCATACTTGATAAATTCAATTAAATGAATCATACGACAACATTTAAGTGAATGTATCATTTATTGTTATGTAGTTACATAAATCAGTGCTCGACAACAGTGGTGTTGAATAACGTTACTCTTTTCGATAGATTGCACGTTAAAACTTAAAAAGACAAGCACTTAATATTGTTTTTAATCACATAAAAAAAGAAAGAAAAGTAGAGACACAAAAACAAAAAGAAAAAACATTAAAATTGTTAATGAACAAAAACATATATTAACTTTCAAAATAATAATTTTCAGTGTAAAATCCGTGTAATTGCCCCCATCAAATGAGAAATGGAAAAGTGGTACGCCACCTCAAATTTAGGAATTTTTAATGAGAATGTCGAACGCATAAAGATTCTATCACAAATGAGAACTAAATAATAGATGCAAGTCGAAGCGATGTCTACTATAACGTTAGAAATAAAGCAGTTTGACTAAATAAGTTTGTGGCTCTCTCTCTCTCTCTCTCTCTAAAATATACAAACTTGATTATCAGAGTTGAATCGACCACCATATTTCTTATCCATTCCACACTATAATCGAGTGACTGAACCAATCTTTTGGTTGCAATTTAAGTGGAGTAAGGACGACGAGAATTGACCAAAATTATATTATAAATCTCGACGTCAATATATTTATTTGAGAGGAAAGCAAAGACAACTGTGCTACATTGTTAGAATTATTTGTCCACTTCCTTGAAAGAATGACTGATATTCTATCGTTGGACTGTTTAAAAAACAATCAATTTTTTACATTCAATCATCTGCTACCAACACTGATTGGGAATAAATAATTCCTTATATGAAGAGGTTACTAAGCTCAAATGCAGACAATTTTAACAAAAGATGAAAATATCTTTTTTCACTCCCAATCTCGTGAGAAGGCCTCTTAAAAAAAATCTTTATAAATCCAAAATTCAAGGAAAAAAATCTCGTCACTTGTCATTGATAGTTTGTATTGTGGAAAATATTGGATTAAGGCTGTTCAATGAAATTATAAATGTTTAGACTATCAAGTGTAGCCCCTTCAAAGAAAGTTAGGCCATTTTTTAATTTCCCCTTTGTATTTTTCCTTTCTAGAAAATTCTAGTAACTCAGATTAATAATTACATATTTAGTAAGATAAATTACACAATATTGAACATGATTATAAAAATAAAAACAAATAAAATATATGAGTATTGTCCAGTACAATATACTATATATATTTTAGAACATAATCATGAATAAAATTATCCATGTGCCAATTTCATATTCAGACCTTGTTTGGTAAGGATTAAAATAATATTTTTAATAAATTTTGATAAAAATTATGAAATACATGGTTGAAAAGTTGTTAATATCATGAAATGTATAGTTAAAATTAATCGTTGACTCTAATTAAATTAAAATCAAGATTTTAATTCTTACCAAATAGGGACTAATTAGTAATAGTAATCCCCTTTGTTGTTTTAAGTTCATTCTATTCACTCCTCTAGATAATATATTTTTTTTTATCTATAATAATATTTTACTGCTCATAAGGGCACAAGAGAGAAAGGAATTGTGCTCCTTAGAGCTAATAAATTATAAATTATAAATTAAGCTGATCAAATATACTTCTTATTTACGGATTGAAACTTAGCTTAAATGTTATCTACACATTCTGTAAATTTCAGAACTTATAAAATATTCAAAATGATAGTGTAAAAAAGGCGTTGTGGTGCACTTATTATGCCACTGTTTGGTGAAAATTAAAAATAGTTTTTTAATATATTTTGATAAAAATTGATAAATATGTGATCTGGAAGTTGGAGGTTCTACAAAATATATAATTAAAAGTAATTATTAACTTTAACTTAAACTTAAATCTAAGATTTAAATTTCGAGAGTTATATATTCGTCGGCATAACATTTAGAGAGAATCAAGTCAATGGGATCTACCGCAAATGCTCAAGTTAAATGTTTCAATGGCCATCGAACTTTGCACCAAACAGGGGCTAAACACATCATCAATTTTTATCGAAATTTAGTAAATATGGGGCTAAACATGTCATGTGATTTTTCTTTTGTTGATTTAGATAGAATTAGATGAGATTTTTTCTACAAATTCTCTTGTCCATAATTTATTCAATTCTCATTTCAATCAAGAAAGATCCTTTATTCATATTTTTTCTATCAAGAACGTTTACTCATCTTTCATGCAATTTACGAAGTCATCAAAATCGAAAATAACTAAAAGTAAACCTAATGTATTGCACTAGAAATAAATGACCTAGTAGTAAGCCAGTCATTGTTGTCGAGAATAAATTGTAAATATGTTAATAGAGAGAAATGATTTAGTACTTCCACTAGATGATAAAGACAAAATTTCTTATTTATATTAACTAATCCATGACCCTATTTTCTCTCGCCCAAAAAGAATTGTTTAAGAATAATGTTACGTAGCCAAACTGATATTTTAATATTTGTTTTTTTTTTTGCAATGCGTGATGATAAAAGATAAATTCAATTAAACGTAGAACTGTGACATTATATTGAATCGGACTTATCAGGTAGACAAATTGTGTCACATAATATTACTCCATGTTTAATATTTTTTGAAATATCATTATGTCAAAACTTATTAAACCTATGGAATTTATTAATGAATCCTTGGATTGGATCATTGGATAGGTGTTCGGGTTGGATTTTTGGATTCGACAGAGCCTTTTGGCATGCATTGGCAACACCTAATTCCCAGAATTTTTTTTTCTTTTTTTTTTTGCAATCAACGAAGCCTGTAAAAATTCTGTGAAAGTTAATGTGTAGTCGCATTACCAATAAAATAAAGGAAAATTTGCAGTTGGATTCCTAACGTTTTCAAAAAGTACAATTAGGCCGTGAATCTTTCATATTTGGTAGTATAGTCCAACATTAGTTAAAAATACAATTGAAGGACCTTCGAATGATTTTCGTCCAGAACTCTATTACTTTAAACTTTTAAATTAATTTTTGACCATTTTTAGTAAGGGTAGAATTGACATTCTCCCCTTTTCCTATTTGAAACAACTAGAAAAAAAAAATTACAAATGAAAAAGGTAAACCACTTTACTTCGCCCACCCACCCCTACGATTAAATCATCACCAAAGAATGCCATTACCAATGTACTCTATCCCTCCTAACCCAAGCTGATTGAAATGGTGCTCTAAAGAGTCACTCATTTCTTTGAGATAATGATAGTTTAGCGTTTAGATTGAAAAGTGCAGTGCGACACAATTTATTATTTTAATTAATAATTAATTTTATCCACGATTGACAAATGGGGCTGGCGCATTGTGAGAACAAGATCATAGTATTGACTATTCGATCGATTGGAGTAGGTGATTTGTTCTAAATTTCTAACCACATAATACCGTTCTCTAGATAGTAACACTATTTGCCCCTTGGAGTGCATTGGAAATGACAATGTGTATGAATTTGATTCTATATCATGACCTTGTGAAGAAGAAAAAGTCTCATTTTATATCGAAATGTGTAAAACATTAATATAGCTTCTATGATTTTAAATTATTTAAGATTGCAATTTCGTGTCTTTAATGGAGTGAATGAAGACTCATAATTAGGATGAATAGTCCATAATTTGACCAGACAATCTTTAATTATTGCAGAATAAGAATGGTATAGGTCAGATCAAGTCCTAATGTAACTCTTTGAAAAGACGGAGTTAGATCATCTCAAACTCTGCATCCAAATTTGAGGTATATTTTGCATCATTTAACACAAAATTTTGTACCAAATTAAAACTCATTTGCAACCAATATACCAAATAAACAGTGTCCAATCACTTTCTTATTTGAAAAGTTATTTCTTTATTTATTTTACAAATACATAAATTACTAAATATATAATTACGTTAAATTAATCGAGTTTGTTATATTTTAATTTTTTCTTGTTTTTGTGTTGCAATTTTAATTAATTCATTGATTATTATCTTTTACATTATTTAAATTTATTTTAAAAGCAGCAACAACAACAATAATAATAATTTATTTTATTAAAAAATATATAACATAAATGACACAAATATCCTCCATCAATTAGTTTGGCAAATGGCCAAAAAGGATAAATTTGAATTTGCATCATTTTGGTGCAAAAATGTTGCAAAGTGATAAAGATCCATCCTCTTTATTCTTCTCTTGTTCATTATGTACATGTCTTGTGTTTCGAGAAGAGTGGGATAAAGAATTAACTACTTCCGCACAAATTTTAGGTTGAAATTATGACATTTTGAGTAATTGATTATCGTTTTGATTGATCACTTATGACCATTCACAATATTGTATTCTTTTTTAATCAAATTATAATAAAATGAATGGGGTGAATTACGTCTCCATGTTTTCTCTTTCAAGTAATTGTTGCAAATAAAAATAATTTGTGAGCCCTTGCAAGAGACGCAAGGTTTATGCAATAATTTTTGTTACACGATGAAATGGAACGAAACAAGGGCATGGATTTACCTTGTTCATTGGTCGACCCCATGCAGCAAGAAAAGGCAATCTTGTGCTATACTCTGATGATCTCTTTCCTACTGCATACTTGTTTCGTAGCTTTCAACTGAGCAGCAGACTTGACGTGACTGACTTTTGGCTGCAGCGTTTGAGCACTTGGTGTAGATAACCAACAGTGACTTAGATGTGGATCTCATCCGAGATGATGCCGTTGCTCTAGTAGCTCAAAATCGAACATATTAAGAACAGAGATACTTAAGAGGTGTGTCGACTAAATTTTCTGAAGTACGAGTTAGCAAACCATTGAGCGCAAAGACTATCATACCCCAAAAACATGTCTCGCACAAACCTATAGGATGAATCAAAAGAGATCCAAATGCACAATTTTAATACTTAGTGAGCTTCAGCTACATGAAACTTGAGAATAATGCTATTCATCATCGATGATTTTCATCGGCCTCGGTGGCAGTGAATCACTGTCACATTATCCAATGAAAGAATGCATTTCAACTTCATTGGACAATATGACTAATGATCATCAAAACTTATAACTCTTCTGAGAATATGTCCATACAGTTGATTTTCTGTAAGTCATTCAAGGTGTAGCGCTCAAGAATAAAAGACGAAACAGCCTAGAGATTAAAACATATACCCCAAACAGGATTAACAAACACACCAATCACATTAACCAAACAGGACACAAAACCAATACATACCCAATCAAAGGTTTGATCTCATATGAGTAAGATTTGACTTATATATCTGAGACAGATAAAGCAAACACATGAAACATGACCTTCAAACATTCTAATCTTACATTTATTCCATTGCAAACTAAACCATATACAGCACCAAGATTTAAGAAGAGCATGTAAAATTGAGTCTGCTTCAGTTCCAAGACAGCATGCAAAGAAGCAACAACTTAAAGAGTAAACCATCAGTTTTCCGAGCTGTAGGATGCTTCACTAGATGAAGAGTTATCCAACTGGAGGCGCTTCAACTCTTCATAAGCCCATTCAAGACCGGGACAATAATGAAGAGGTGGATTGAACCTTGTGTCGTTGATGTCATCAGGCAAAAATGCCCCGTTACCAACCAGGAACTTAATTGCTTTCTTATTTCTTTCTTTAGCTGCATTGTGAAGTGGTGTCCCTGTGTCCAAAAAAAAAAAAGGAGAGAGAAATAAGATAGAGCAGCAAATTTAATGTTTCTTCTTTGTTTCCCAAAGAAAAACACATGTTTGGCTAAGCTTAAAAACGCTAAATTCAAATATTTTTGGACAAGTAATATTGTTCCTTACTTTTAAGTAAAAAAGTTGCTTATTTGATTGTAACTCTTATCTTTCTGTTGTCTATCAAAATAAGTAACTTGTTTCCAATTTTGATCAGATAAAGACTTATTTATTTTGAAAATTATTAATTACTTATAAATAAGCATTGAACTTTAGCCAAACGTTTCTGCATCATGTACTCACAGCCACATGAACCCTTCGTTCGTGCATCAATGTCAGCACCACGCTCTAGCAATTCATCCATAACTTTAATATGACCCCCCTTAGCAGCAAGGTGGAGGGGGGTCACACCATGCGATTTTGGGCCCCAAGCAGCCACATTAACATCCATTCCTTCATCGAGAAGCCGTTTCACCTAAAAAAGATGAAAAGAATCCACAAAAATTTGAGAGAATAAATAAAAGTTATAAAAGCTCTTTTTTACTAGCGTTCCTTAGGCTGACTTTTCTTTTAATATACAACCAGAATAATTATCTATGACCTCGATATCTTTCAAGTTTTTTCTCTTATTTTTTTGTCATTTTTTCTTTTGTGGGGGTTGGGGGGTTGGCAGTTTGTAAACCATGATATTACAAGAAAATGGTCTGGAACTGTAAGATGTCGTCTTTCAAGGATGTTTATCCCACATTAAGTCTCACAGTTCTTTGCCATATTATATTAACACCACAAATCCATTTTAACGTTCTGATTCTACCCATATGTATCTTCTAAATCTTGTTTTCGTGGTTGCCCAACATTAGAAACTATATATGGCTGGTCTTGACCTCAAATATCTTTCAACTCTAACATGACGAATCGTGGTTGTCGTATCTTTCAACTTTAGAACTAAATATCACAGTTCATTATGATGTAAAGTTCTTTGTCTGTCAAAGACGCTAATCAACAGTTCAAATAAATAGACAGAACCTTATTCTGTTCTCATAATCCATGTCAAAACCAACCAATGCAAAAAATTCATTCTAACTTCCAGATCCCCGTCCACGTGACTTTAAGAGCTAAATATCAAAGGAAGAATCTACTTCAGACCCTTGACATTTCTTTACCTTACTTAAGCATCTTAAACTCTGCTCCATAATATATCAGCCTGTGTTGCCCGAGCCACAAAAATATAGTAATTCATGTTCATGAATCTTAATAACTACTTCCACAAAAGAGATTTTTCGAGGACCAAGACTTCCCACAGCACTACCCTTACATATTTGGCAGGACTCTTCACCAACACTTTCTTGCAAATATACCAAAAGCGTTCAAGTGGTGAGTGTTTTCTTGATGTTTGTATTTCATTGCCTAAAAACATGAGGTACTGCATTCATCACTCACTAAATCCCTGTTTTTATCATCAAGTTATAGTGACGGTTTCTCAGGATCTAAATTATCCTAACAATGAAAATCCACTGGTGAATATATATTACTGACTGAATTTCAACACCATACATATTGCACAATCAATGAAAGAAAATACAGAATATATATATATATATAGAGAGAGAGAGAGAGAGAGAGAGAGAGAACACAAGAAAAAATCACTGTAAAGGGGTAAAAATATTACCTGTTTGAGGTCACCTTTCCGAGCAAAAATGTGAAGCGGAGTCCAACCTCGATCATCCCTGTCGCCTCCCAACCTACCCAACTGCCTGCTCTTCCTGATTAGTCCGATCTCAAACCCTGGCATCATTGAAAATATTCCTTTTTCTTCTTTATATCACACAACAGTCCCCCCAAAAGTATTTCTAGTCCAGTAATCTTACAAATCTCAACTCACAAATTCACATTTATCTTCGATGGTCGACCAAAACGCTCAAATTCTTAACCTTTAACGTTGTATTCAAAGGGTCAAGGCAGAAGTTTTTATAGTAATGAAGTTTTTTCACATGAGATGAAAAGAAAAAAACAACACACACACAAACATTCAAGGCACAAGTTTCAATTTATCAGTGAATTTGGTCTTATCTTCAAATCTCAACAGAAACCCAGAAAATATATGAATAGATTAGACCCAATTAAAAATACCTGAAATTTCAGAGCTCCGACCTATCCTCAAACAGTTTACATAATTTTCAAAAACAAAAACTATAAACAAAATTAGCGAGAGGAATGATTGGCCAAGTTGTAAGGAGCAAACGGATTCAAACCAGGGCCAAAAACTCGGAGATTGCCAGAAATCTTGTTGGTTTTCACATTCAACAATGATGAGAATCGAAATTTAACAAAGATTATCATAATTAATGCCCAAATCTTGATAATAATAGAAAATTCGGCAGGGATTTTATCTGAATCCTGTTAGAAATTGGATTTGTTTGGTGGTTGCATATATGCGATGTATGTAAATCAGATGAATCCGTCGGTGAAAGGGTCGAAGAAGACGAGGGGGCAGCGAGAGATGAGGATGAATTGATGAGACCCTAGAACACGCAGAAGAGGACTGGGAGCAAATTGTAAAAATCGAACGTTTCAAGGATATGTAGCGATTTTGTTGTATTAACGCTTCTATTGAATTCAGATGGAAGTCGGTTTCACGACTTTCATTTTCTTTCTAATTTTTAGGACTTCCAACTCAAACTTTCATAAAACTAAGGAGGAAAAAAAAAAATTGGAAATAAAAAAGTCGAGCTAAATTTAATTTAAACAAATTTCGGATTTTTTTTTTTAAATAACTAACAATCGGGGTGGGAGAGGGCAAAAAAATCGATCCATCGCCTCATTGAAATGGGACATCGTTGGACTCAGGTTTGACAATTCAAATTGCCATTTGTATCTCTTTCCATTTTTCCATTCAAATGAACAAAACTTTTTTTAAATTGATCATTGATGTGTGATCATTGCATGTTAGTAATGTTTTGTTTATCAACTTAAGCTAGTGATTAAAAATTTGAAGCGAAATATACTCCTACGATAAATTGCATCTTAATTAATTAGGATTTTCACCATTATAAATAAATTGAAAGCTTGTTTATGAAGTGTTTATAATTATATTTGTATATAAGTGTGTATTGAATATTATTTGTGGATTACGTGATATGTGTGGATAAAGTGATTTCACTGTTTATAAAAATTAGATAAACATAGGTGTATTAATATAGGGTATGTTCGATAGTGATTATAAGAATTGATTTTTTGATTGTTAGAGAAAAAGGTGGATCCCATTTATGAATGAAAAAGTAAAAAATGAAGACTGAAATAATAAAATAACAATTAAAAAATTAATTTTTTGGGTGAAAAATAGCTATCAAACGAGTGCATAGTCTAATATTTTGGAAAGCCTGTTTTTTGAAAAAGGCTAAGGATCAACTTTCAATAGATCAATGAGGTAGGGAAGCATGGTGCAATTCTCCCTAAAATATTTTGACTAAATAGTTTGTTTTACATTAGAATAAAATGTGTATGCCTAACTTTTCTGAAGATTTCTCCACTAAAATTTGACTTATAATTTTGCTTTATTTAAAAATAAGCAAAATCTCAAATAAGTAGGAATTGAAAATTCAATAGAATTGATGGATCTTCCGGTCTAATCAACAATATCCGTTGGTGAAATTCTCTATAAATTTTTAGTGAATATGACTATCAATGCTTCTTAAATTATTATATTATATCAATTTCCATATGAGATTACATTAATATAATGCTGATTATCTTTCTATATACGAATTAAATGATGACGTGTTTTGCTGAGAAAATAGTGTCAACTATTATTGGATTATATCATTATTCATCAGAAGATTAGATTAATATAAAGTTGATTATCAATGTGGATATGAATTAAATGATGATTATTTTCATGGATATATATTAAATGATGATGCATTTCACCGAAAAAATAGCGTCGAATAATTTCAGGACAAATCGCTATTATCTCCTCCTTTTCAGTTAGGGATGTCAATGGATAGGAGCTGTGAAATTAAATTATTAATTTATTTGCTTTTTTCTTGATTTTTCACTTTTGGTAATCTCATAGAAAATTGAATTAATTGTTCCAATGATCACTGAACTTAACTCATTTTTTTCATTGGTCAGTGGCCACTAAGCCCCCGTTTGGCCTCCTTTAAATCATATTTCATTATATTATATTTTTCTCTCTTATTTTTTAACACACAATATATTTTTCATAAAATAGTATTACACATACATTGAAAATTTTTCCTTTTTTTTCTACCACCTATTTTTCAAAAGAAATACTATTCCACTCATTTTTATTTTCAAAAAATGGGGGCCAAACGAAGACTAAAATTTAAAATGTCGAGTTTTGATCACTGAATTTAGGTTCATATCTTTGATTGCTGATCAAAGTTTAAAATGTCAAATTTCGGCCACTGAACTTTGAAAACTGTTGTACATTGCTCACTAATATAAATGTTGAATTTTGAAAAATATCGAATTTACAGTGACGAATGTACAATATTTTTTAAAGTTCAATGGTTTAAACTCAACATTTTAAACTTTGGTGAGTAATCGAAGACATGGACTTAAATTTTGTAACCAAAACTCGACATTTAAATTTTAGTGATTAATCAAAGATATGGATCTAAGTTCAATGACCATTGAAACAATTAGCTCAAAAAAAAAACCCCAGAAAAAACAAACAAAAATCAAAAAAAAAAAAAACCATATTTTCTCTCATTTCCAACCCTTTGAACACCCCCACGGCAACCCGCCCCACGCCGTCCACGCGAAAAACAGTTTCAGATGGTCAAAACTCATGATTATTCTCTCCCTTGTCCAAAAAGCATAAATCTGTCAATAAAGCATTTTTCACTTTGATAGAGTGATGCAAAACCTTAATCAAATCCCCAAAAAATGATTTTTGACCGTCTTAAAGATGTCTCTAAGCCCTCCAACAGCCCAAGAAACCCTTCACCATCAGCACCACACCTTCACGAGCTCTCCTTCTCCATCCCTGCCACCCTTCTCCGCCTCAGCTAGCGGTGTCCCTGGTGGTCGTGATGATGATGAGTTTCCTAGGAGGGATGAGAGGTGCCTACAGTGGAGCAACCAAGAAACAAGGGACTTCATAAAAATCAGGGGCCAGTTAGAAGGGCAATTCACCTCAACAAAGAGGAACAAGAATCTCTGGGAAATGGTGGTTAGCAGAATGAGGGAAAAGGGGTACAGGAGAACCCCTGATCAGTGCAAATGCAAGTGGAAAAATCTTGTTAACAGATACAAGGTACATAGATTGATATATACTCTTTTCTTTTCTTTTGATTAATATCGTTTGATGAAATTGATTTATTTCTGTGATGGGATAGATTGATTGAGTAATTGGATTCAATTCGTGTTGGAAAGATGAAATACTCATGCTTGGATGTCAGTACAGAGTCGAAAATGGTTTGAAAATTAATGTTTTTTGTTCGTTTTGATTGTTACTTTCAACTTCAATTGATCTGTTATTGTGTTGGACTTTTGAACTTCTTAGGATTCGTCAATGGCCACTCAAAAAAAGAAGGCATATGCGGCTAATGCAGGATTTTGTTCATATAACTGATACGATTCTAATGATGCATTAACGAGATTCTTGTATTGGACGAGGGATCCCGATAGAATTCATCATTTACTTGGCAAAAAAATGCTGAGTTAATTCAAGATTATGCTTGGTATTTGAGACATATTCATTACTCAATCTTGCCATGGTGTAGAAATGGAATCTATAAGTTCTTTGGTAGAGTTTTGATGCTGGCTGTTTTTGAGAAGGGGTCGGGTTTGGGGACCTGAGCGGGTTAAAATAAGAAATTGGTGGTTCCTTTAGGGTAAAAGGGGATGAAAAAAGGAGAAAGATTGATAATAGAAACCATGCTTTTAGCTCAAGGCCATTGAGATGAGTATCCGAAGATTGATAATAGAAACTATGTTTTTAGCCTTTAAGGCACTGAGGTGAGTATCCGACCTTAAACTTTAGGGTCTCAAGGGATTAGTCGAGGTGAACTTAAGTTGGCCGAACATCCACGGTCATAGAAAAAAAAAAGAAACTATGTTTTTAGGCTTCCTTGGAATGCTTAGGAATGGCAAATATTGTTTGGATGACGAGTAAATTTCATGTGATTCCCTCTTGAGGAACTGTTATTGGGTTTTCGTGTTTGTATGCTGAAACATGAAAGGTTATTTTTGCTTTGGCATAATTATTGTGTAGAACTTCTTTGATTTTTTTTATTTTTATTGTCGAGAGATCGTGTGATGAAATATTTTTGGTGTATCATTTTTTGAATTGCAAGGCATCTATCCTTGATTCTTATATATAATGTAAGCTTAGAGTTTTAAAGCTTTAGAAGTTACTTGGGAGCAATTTCGTGTTTTTGCTCAGAACTCGAATTTTCTCTTAGAAAGGGTGCTAGTCAGAAAGATAAAGTACGGGTTCAACGATGGTCCAAAACCAAATAAAACTAAGTTACGTTAGGGTGTATTGTGAATTTCTGCGTGCTCTGAAAATTTGAATCTGGTCCAGTACAGGTTAAAGAACTTTTCCTTTGTTCTTACTGATTCTCCAACTTTAGACCATAACGTTAATGGCTTCTGATTTTTACAGGGACAAGAAACGTATGTTGTAGGTAGTAGTCAGCAATGTCCATTTTTTGATGAGTTGCATGCAGTTTTATCAGCAAGTGCCAATGATATGCACCAAACTCAGTTCGACTATGAGGTTGCTATGATGCGCGGAAAAAAGAGGCTCAAGAAAGTTAACCGGTATCAATCTGCAGAAGAGGAGGATGACGAGAGCGATGCGGATGAGGTTGTAAAGGCACCTAAAAGGAGGGTCGGGACAGAAAAACGACAAAGGGCAGGAGCATCAGAGAAACTTTCAGAAAAGTCTTCGAAAAATACAAACAATACCGATAGCATTCTTAGTCATCTTAATGAGATGCTGAAGAGTTTCTTCCAGCAGCAACAGATAATCGACATGCAGTGGAGGGAGTCTATGGAGAAACGAGCCCAAGAACGGGATCTTTTTGAGCAGGAATGGCGACAAACAATGGAAAAACTTGAAAGGGATAGACTGACGATGGAACAGGCTTGGAGAGAGGCGGATGAAAAGAGGTGGACAAGAGAAGAGAGCCTGGCTGAGAAGAGAGATGACCTCTTGAAAACACTTGTGAACGAACTCGTCCCATGAAGACAATCTTTGAGGTGCATACCAGCATAATGGACAAGATTTTGACATATTTTTCTTCTTTGATATCGTTTATTACTATCCAATCGTCCCTGCCAAACATGTGAGAGACGTATTTTGACTTTCATAGAGAGTAAAACTCTTCATTGGTTAGAATTGTGTTGTGTTGGGTCATAATTGTAACGTTAAGACTTTTATTGATGTTAAAAATATTGAATTTTAAAGAAGCTACTACTTTGAGAATTTGATCCAGGGTTATGGTGGTCAATCCAATTATGCTGTGTGTATTAGGGTTCTGTGAGTAGAATCCCTGCACACACTCACAGCAGGCAGGTCCCACGCGAGACCTGCTTGTATAAAAAAATGCTCAAAACCCCACTCACCCCATCCATGTTGTGAGTGTTTGGCAAGGGTTTTGAACCCCTACTCTGTACCTCAAGCTTTGCTCTATGGTGGTGGGGTTTTTCATGCTCGGGCTGGGCCTGTTCTAATTCAAAACAATGTAGGTCGGCCCACATGTGGACCGGACAACTAAGTTATGAGGATTCCATGAAGTATTTAGGAAATAATTTCCTAACTCATTCCTATGATACCAAAGTGCTTTCTGTAGAATTGGAAGAGGTTAAGATAATCTTTTAATGATTCCTATATCTTGATTAAGTCAAGTGGAGCAGGCAGAATACTCTTAATAGGAGGTCACCTGTGTGAGTGTGAAGTGAGACTACTTCAATGAGAATTATTCAAGGCTTAAATTCTCTAAAACACTTGCAAAACCAAGAGGGGTTGAGGGCCAAAATGAACCAAGTCATGAGAACCAAGAACGGAATTAGGGAAGATATTATGTGAGTATTGTTGTCTTGGCTTACACTAACGGCTGGTCGGTTCAAGACATCATGTTCACCAACTAGCCAAGTAAGCTCGATAATATTTCACTAGGGAAGGTTTAAAGCCGGAAGCTACCTTGCCCGATGTAATATTTCGCCGCTCTCTCTCTACAATTGCATGTATCATCTCGCATATCATTTGCATACTCGAATTTCCATTCATGTGGGGGATTGTTTGAAATTGGTTTCCAAATTAACATGAAAGATCAGAAATTAGTTAAGTAAAAATTGAAATCGAAAAGTGTGACTAACGTGTCAACTTCGGCCGAATATTTGGACTTGATCCGATGGTCAAATTACAAAAGTAAATAGACCAATTTATTTTACTCGTCGAGTAAATCATTATGGTATATTTGGAATCTTGAAACCAATTGCGAATGAATGAAAAATTGCGGACCAAAGTTGAAAAAAATCAAGTGTTACAACTTTTCGAAAGGATGCATGTTTTGATCCACACGACTTCATTTGCACCATTTCTACATTTATAAATAGGACCTTATGGACATGATTTTGGGTCAGCAATTGCATTGAACATTCATTCTCCTCTTTCAATTCTCTCCCTTCTAATTCCATAGCATTTTCATATATTTCCTTTGTAGAGGGGAAATTCTGTTAAAAGTTCGTTGGTTTCTTGTGGTTTGAAGTGCTGCTATCACAATTTGTGAATTCATTGTATCTTCGGAGACAAGTGTCATTCACCGTGAGTACCGTAGCGGGGCAATTTGTCTTAAAGAAAGTGATAACGTCTCGCCTTGAATTATTTTCTATTTCTACTCCTTCTTAATCCTTGTTTTGTGTAATCGTTGTACCGAAACTCTGTTCAAATTTCCATTCATATAAATTGTATTTTGATCACGCTCTTGCGGGTTAAAATTGGTCAAATAAATATATCAAAAATCAACCCTTACATAGCTCTTTTTATAAGTCGTCTCCAACAGAAAATGCCTCTAGAAAATGAATTCACAAGCATTTTTTTAGTCTCGGGAGCTGCTTTTGAGTTTTCATAAAACGTATCAAACAAGCCCTTAGTTTGATCACGGCAACATAAAAATTGGCTCAACTCGAAACAAAAAATTAAGTTTGCGATAACTGTCAAAACCGATTAATTCACCCATTAATTTTGTTTCTATTTGTTGTTTAAATCACTTATCTACGAAGGACACGAGTCTAATCTTTCGACCCACATTTTTCTCTTCCAAATTAATGTCACCAAAATACTGTATCATAACACGAGTCCTTTGGGCAGAATTGACAAGTTTAACTTTTTTCTTTTTCCCTTTTTTCCCCCTCTCTATTATTGTCCAAAATACAGTAAATACTGTACAATTCACCTAGCAAAATTGCTATTATGGCTTGTTTGGTAATCATTACTTATTTTTCACTTTGGTGAAATTAATTAATTAAGTAGCTTTTCACTTTCTAAGAACAGGTCTTATCAATAATCAATACGAAACAAAACTCTCTTCCTCGAATAGCCCTTCGGGGCATAATTTAGTGGTGCAAAGGAAAGGAGTGAGGTAATCTCAATTTTGCTGACAGCTGCAGTGTGAGGGTTCGATTTCTGAGATATAAAATTAGATTCTTTGTGAGCATCAATATACGGATAAATTCTTGATTTCTGACCTGTTGGGACACATCTATAATTTACATTTCGATGCTCCAAGGGTGACGGTGAGAACCTCAAGATTGGGGTTCAACCATTTCAAAACTCTCTCCTCGAACGGCACAGGAGTCGGTCGCAGGCGTGTGAATTCACTACCACACGTGCCATCTCTCCATTCCCATTGTCTCTCCTGCGAATGCCCGTATAATTCGAGCATCTCGCTCACAGACACATACTCATACTTTCTCTCTTACACACAGACATTGTTGCTAGAATCCAACAGTCGACGTACTACTGCAGACCGTACATGTACATACAGAAATGTTTGCATGCATTTATTTTTAGAGAGAGAAAGTGAGGACCCTTTTCAATTTTTGTTGCAATTACATAACTTTACAGCTCAACTCTCAATTTCTCAGTCTATCATTCTCTCTCTATTTCTCCTTCTCTGTGTTTTGAGCTCAACTTCATATTCACAGTTCAAATCTACCATTGCCACAGCCTCCACGGGGTATTTTATCGTTTTACGGATTTTGGTCACAATTTCCTCCGTTTTGCTAATTAATCGGTATAAAATTGATATACTCACAGGAATACGCCCAAATTGTGAATAATCTGGTTGTTTAGGATTCTTGATGATAATGGGTGGCTGACTTATGCTAAGATTGTCACCTGCTGAGTGTCTGAAGTGATGATTTTGATCTGCTTTTTTATGAATAAATGATGAAATAAAGTTAAATTTCAATGTATTGTGTGGAACCTTTATTTGTTATTGTTGTTTATTATTATTATTATTATTATTATTCTTTTTTTTTCCCAAATTTTTGGTCAGCAATAATTTACTGTTACTGATGGTAATTACTGTAGGTCGCAATGTAGCCACGAAAAGTGTGGTGAAGGAAAAGAATTTGATACTGAAGATTGTAGTTTGGTTTATTCTATTACATTTACAGTTTGTTAACAGTTATAAGACACTGAATTTATGTATCTTTGAGAAATATTAAATATAAGAAAGATTAGTAAGAGAGAGGGGTATTACAAAGGGATCTTATATTTTGGGAACTTAAAAAAGATAATGGAAGAATCAAATTTTATAAAATTTCTATCTATATACACTCTTACTTTCTCTTGACATTTTCGTTTTTACTTTGATTAATCAATATCTCATGCTTATATAGAATTCTGAGTTATGTTCTTGAGTGTGTATTTTGCTTGAACAATAGTGGGCTACTATACTGGAAATGGTGGTTTTGTGTGAAGGATTACAAAAGAAAAAAGATGATATAGAAAATCCAGAAGGGCATGAATGATAGAATTAAGGGAATCATATCTGTTGATTTGATACATTAGCACGGATCTTGAGTTTGAGTTGCATGTTGAACGGCATAGATATGGAAGTGATGTAAGTCACACACGGCACGAATTTGATAGTCACAGGTCAACTGTTTTAAAAAAGAGGACATAGAATTTGTATTGATGTGTTCAAATTGATTTGATGCTCTATGAAGGGCACAACCACAGATCCCACAACCAGGAATACAGAAAGAATGAAGGAAGCCTTAGAGATGTGACTCCGGCCTCCTTGTGTGGAATTTACCATACTAGAGGCTACATTTCTGTTAGAAGGCAGTGCCTGAAATTGTGAATAGTGTTTCTGTTGCTTGATTATTATGACAATTGTTTTGCTCTGTCTGGAAAACTATTTGTTAGACCAGAGCAATTACATTCAGTGGGTCCTCCAGGCAGTATGACTCATAGATTATAAAACTCATTCATGGCATCTGAAAACATCAATATGGCAGATGAAGTGCCGTTGTATTGTTGCATATTTATTTATTTATTTATTTTTCCCTGAATTTTGTCAATTATGGGTATGAAAAGTTATTTTCCTACACAAACATTAGGGTTCAATTTGTGAGCAATTTGTGAGCAAATTACATCAATTAATTGCCTCTGCCCCAACAGTTCTTTGACCCTATTGATATTTTGACCTGTCCTATTGAATACTTCAAAACAAATTGTTTACTCTAGAGCACAACTTTTGTTTTCATGCAAAACTGGATAGCTACTGATTATGACCCCAACATGCATTAATTATAAATACAAAAAGTCTCCTTTTTCATTGGCGCATCCACTTGCTGCCTTCTTAAAGAAAATCCTTCGATGCTTATAACATATATAATATATGTGAAGTTATTTTTCTGCTATTGCTTGTTTATAAATATATAAATAATTGTTTCCCAGGGGGATTTGAAGTGGCTGCAATGTGGCTCTTGTCAGCTTGATAACTGCATGTTCAAAGGAACCATTATGGAGCTTTGTGCATTAGATGCTATGTAGTGAACTTCTCATGCCCAATTAGAGCTACAATGGGCAGCTTCTGCATATATTTCCAGCAACCATTGCTTTTATGCACTCTATTGCTTTATACTCTGGCAAAAGAAACTGAAGCTCTCAGTCCTGATGGTATGGTCGTATGATTTTTTTGTTCATTAACTTCTTTAATTTTGCATGGATACTTGTCTGTAGACCCTTTAAAGATGTTACGGGATTTTATTTTTCTGTGTAATATATTGTATCTATGTAAATAAACAACACCATGACATCCAAGTCTACTGCAACTTGGAATGTGTTTACTTGTTAAACTTGTCTCCTTTTAAGTACATTAACTTCTATTGCCTGTCAGAAATTTCATTTATACAACTCCTTTGGCTTATTGAACATTAACAAATGGTAATGAAGAAATGCTTATACATGAAAAAGTGCTTTCTGATTTTCAGGACAGGTGCTGATCAACTTTAGGACAGCCATCATTAGTTCAGATGGTGTTCTGCGGCAGTGGAGACCAGAGGATCCTGATCCATGTGGATGGAAAGGAGTACAATGCGATCCCAACTCAAAGAGAGTTACAACCTTGTGAGTTCCACAATGTTGCAAGATTTGTAAAGACTTACGTTTTCATGAAATATATGTAGGGACTTAGAATGTGCAAAGCTTTAATGATTGTATGAGGAGGATAACACAAGAAGATTTTTGTTGCTTCTTTCCTATTGTTCCAAGTTAAATGTCTTCATTTCTCTTTTGTAGATCCCAAATTAATGTCACTTGCCTGAAATAAGCAGTTACTGGTTTGTTTGCTAAATGAATAATTATCTCATTTCTCTTTTATTGTTATACAACTTCTGTAATCTGATAAAAGACAATTACTTCCATAATTAGATATTCGTATTGTATTTTTAGTACTATTTGCATAGACTGCACCGCACCATTTTGCAGCAACATGGATATATATTCACTGTATAGCACTATCAAGTAAACGGAGGATTGAAATTT